TTTCATTATTTTACGAATTTGCTGATATTCACTAGTTTTTCTCGCCATTACATGTGCCATAAAATCGACACTTGCCACTTTCCGCCCACTGAGTGTTTGATATGTATGTATGTATTGTATGTGAGTGTGCATGTGAAAAGCGGTCTGCTGATGGTGGTCCGTAGCCGGATTTAGACTTTCACACTCACTCAATGAAAATAAAACTATATTTGTATGTTTGTATGAGTGTAAGTGTTGGCGTTTATGTAGTCGTAACTAAAAAATAATAATAAAATTTCTCCTCTATATGTATGTACGTACATACTCGTATGTATATAAGTTGGTGTTGCAAGCTAGCTAAACACACTGCTAACCGTCCATAAAATGTAAATGGTGAAGACTGTATATGATTTACGATTTTCCGTTACGATTTTTCTTCCCTACGCACGAGCACCACTAGTGCACTGGCGTATGCCTTGGAGCAAAGTGTAGCGAGTGAGTAAGAAACCCCTTCCGCGCACTACCGACTTTTCCGCCATTTATCCCATGCTTTTCCCCTTTCACCAGTTCATTTTTCCTCGCTTTTTTACGAGCATTTACGTCCGTGCGTTGGCGCGTCGAGAAAGCAATCGTCATATGAATTTATTCAAATTTTCTTCTTTTCCCAACCCCTTGAGGCAGCAGAGATATTGTGAATAAGGCAGTGACGGCTTTCCTTTGCATTTAGTCTCAAGAGTCTCACGTATGTTTGTGCGGCAGTCGTAAGCATTTGCCAGGGTTGCCTTTGGTTATTTTTTTCAAAGAAGTTTTAATGGAGTTGCCAAGTTGTGAATGAAAGTTGGGATGGATTTTCGAAGAACTTTGTTTTCGATGTTGTTATTTCCTCTTTTTCTCCCATTACATTAGGAAGCCTCTCTTCATATATGCCATTTTGAAATCATAAACACAGAATACATATTTAATTCGATATTATAATTCGGTGTCTTCTGCTTCGATTTCTTCACGAGGATTAATCAATTAAAAGTAGCAAAATATTTCACACCTTAAACCACAAATCGAAATGGTTAAGAGAGCCAAATATTATTCAAATCTAGTCCATAACATCAGCGTTTCTAAAGTTCCACTTTATCTAATCCTCAGAATCGAATGGTTTTGGATCATTGGGAACTACTTAGCTTAAGCTCCGCCTTTATGAAGTACTCACAAGTAGTATTCTCAGGTTCCTCGATCTTATTATCTCGGGGAAAACTGACAACGTCGGAGCATGAGAGATTAAATACTTTAGCAATAAATTTTTTCGAAGTATCTTCTGTAGCTAAGCCCAGTTCTCCTGCCGAATTCCGCTCGATTTATAAGCCGGATTCCAACATAATTTGAATTCTAGAATATCTAAGATCTTCAGAAGCCGCGATGGCTCTGATCCGCCTTTATTGGAATCAGCCGCAACATTCATATCTCTTGAGTTTTAAGTATGTCTGCTTAATTCATTTTGCAAACAAAATTCTTCGTTGGTCTTGCAACACGCAGCCCCCACACTTACGACGGACACTATTGCTCAGACTAACAAGCCATTTTCCCACTGCTACACACCTCTAGTTGGCCATTAGTCAGTTAGCTGGCCCGCTGACTGGCTCGCTTGTCAAGGCCTTATAACTCAACACGATATGTTTTTCGTGAAGTCTTTTTGACATTTCTAAAAATTATGCACACAAATGAGTTATGCGCTGAGCCACGAAATGCGTTCGCGTCGCATTATTTGAGTTCATTAGCGTTGAGATGAGGTTCGCTGTTGTTGTTGTTGTTGTGTTAGTTATACGTGTTAAAGATGTAAGCAAGCGATAAGCGTTCGCAGCGCTTTTCATTGCAATTCCAGTTTTTTCTTTCTTTCTATTTTCCCCATTTTTTCTTACATTTTCAGTTATATTTTAATAAATGCGCGACTACAATGGTGCTAATTGTGGCATGCCGCATGCGGTCTGTCGCATCGGAGAGAACAACTCAGTTCGGTCGAAGCGCTGAAAGCGAAACAAATACTTGTACAAATACTCGGCGACTACATGCAACAACAACAACAATTGTTACGGGAACAACTGTTGACCATTGCCTACTTAGCTTCTGGCCGAGCGGCAGACTGCTGCCGTCTGAGGTGTGTGTGTGTGTGTGTGTGTGTGTGTGCTTATGCGATTGTTGCTTGGTGCTTGTTGGTTTGCTGGCAGTGGGTGGACACCATAAATTCATTTTTACAAGTGACATAGAAAAATAGTCAACGCAAAAGGTTTTTAATTATTAATTATTTTCTAAAGCGAATATGGTTGTTCAAGCCCGCCTTTATTTGTTTAATGATTTTGCAATAACATAAATTATCTATGCCATGCCATCCGCCATGACAATTGTTGCCGTTTGACTATTTGTTTAATTGTTGTTTATCGATTTTGTTGACAGTTACACACTTGTTGTTGGCCATGGTTGCTATTGTAGCGCGGTTATCTTTGACTTCAAATGTAGGTCAAAGTATATTTTTTTATGTCCGGGTGCGAGGAGCTGAGCATAATATCATTAAGGAGGAAATAAAATAAATAAATGAAAAATAGAATTAAGCCAAGACAATTTTAAGAGAGAACGTAAAAAATGGCTAAACATTAAATATGGCGAGCCATATAACATGGTTAGACATGAGAAATGGTGGGCCAGAAAAGATGTCGAGACATAAAATATGGTGAGACACAAAAAATGATTAAATACACAACAGTTTTTAACACGAATTTTAACAAAAACTCAATTTTGCACTAAATTAAAACACCCGTTATGAAGTGTTCAACCTTTTTCTACACTTCCTGCAACCACTTATTGCTTTCGTCAACTCACATCTCCGCTCTATCCGCACATGTACTTCGCTTAGCTATAAACTTTCACAATTTCCTACGCTCAACAAATTTCATTATCAACACTTTAACTCCAAAATAAGCGTTAATCCGAAGCCGAAAACGCAATAAAACATAAAAAATGCAAATTTTACCAATATTTTTTTTTAATGAAAACTCCACACATAAACTCAAATTTTCTGCAGCTTTGCCACCAAGGCTTTCATAACTTTCCAGGTTAATAAAATTTGTATGTGCATATGTACAGCTGAGACAGTTGCAAACTGCAATTTGCCCCCACACACACATGCACTCATACACACGTTTGATCGGACAATAAACTACTAATGCCGGGCTTTGCTTAGCGGTCACACGCGATCTTTATCGCTTTAGTCGATAAGAGGTGTGCGCATTGCTGTTTATTACCTTGCCAGCAACAAAAACAACAACGATAGCATAATGTCTGTCTTCAACATTTGCTCACTTTTATTGTTATTATTATTTTATTAATTTCATAATTCCTTCTTTCCAAAAATTCTAATATACATATGTACTTACGTAAAGACACACATATAGACAAACATACATATCTTTATATTAGTCTAAAAGCGTGAACAGAGCATGAGCTACCCTTCTCCATTTATGACCGACCTCGTGTGGTCAGTTGTGTAGGCGATTCGCGTCTTCATTTTATTACACTGTTCTTCTTGGTTCTCTTTATCTTTCTACACACCACCACCACCACTTTTAAATTTCAATAAGGTCAAAAATATGCTTTTATTGCACGTTTCTTGCTATCAGTTATCCGTTACAGTTGGTTTTGTCTTTTTGTTCCATTCGTTTTTTCTAGTTATTAATTCCTGTGCTCTCCTGTCTTCCTTTCATTTGAGTCGGATTAGTCCATTGAGGCCACTGAAAACTATATTTCTTCCCTATTATTCTGCCTTCGAACGTCAACCGTTTCTGCTCTTGCTGTTGTTGTAGCGATGATAAATGTCCTTTGAATTAGTTCAGCTGCCGTTTGACATGCCGTCCAATGAATTTTTCACTAAATATTAATTAAGTCATAAAAATTAATATATTTTTTTTTACTCTTCTTTGTTGATTTTTTGTTGAACATTTTTATTTATACATTTCCGTTTCGAAATACATGTAAATGTGTTGTTTATTGCACTCGTTGACTTGGCCTAAAGGTTACAACCTCTACGTTGGCAATATTTTCTATGTATTATTTTCTTCTTCTTTTTTGTGTTGGCTTGATATGCTAATTGATGACAAATTTTACAAGATAAAAGATATTTTGAAATTTTTTTCGAACTCCTACACTGCATAACTGAAAACGTTCTGTCAAAAATTAATCAGCTTATATAGAGAAGAAAAAATTTCAATTTTATTAAATTTTTGCAAGTTTTCCTAATAAATATTTTTCTCAAAACTTAAATTCTTCAAATGAAAATAAAAGTTAAAAAATTCTCATTTATAAGAAATATTTAAATTTTTTTCACAACTGCAACTTCCTTATTGTGTTTTCGTACTGAGAGAGATTTCCAAAAAAAAAGGAAAAAAAAAAATGCAATTCTGATGAATAAAACATTTATGAGTTCACAAATTACCTCAATTCCTTTCCTCTGATGGATTAACTCCTTCTCTGTTTCCAACTGTGCTGAGGGATTTATTTTTCCGAATTTGTTTACCAACTCCTTTGTTTGTGTTTTGTTTCCCTTTTTGCTTCCCACCATTTTATGAGCTTCAACGAAACAAACCACTTGTCATTTACTCAACAGCTTGGCACAACAACAACAACTATTTAGCCTTTATATTTTGCATGTTCACAGCTTATTAACGGTAAAAAACGACTCTATTACTGTACAGCTACGTATTTTCGGCTAATTCACATTAAGAAAGTCATACATACACACGAGTGTACGAGTATTTTGTGGAATTTTTTTCCATAATCATTTTTATTTTTCCTTCTGTTCGAGTTAATAACAAAAACTTTTACCTATTTGATGAAATCGCATAATGAAACAGTTGTGCTCAACTGCTTTGGGGAATTATAAATAAAATGCCACTTAGTCGTTAATGAGGTTTGCAAGGCCTTGTGAGAAATTTGTAGTATTTTCAAAACATTCACACATCATTTCTTTTAACCCTCGACAGGCGCATGTTTCCCACTGTACGCGTTAGTTTCTCCGGTCCACTGCGTCAAATACAACCGCCCGATCGTTATGCTGTCGTGTTGGACGTGGTGCCAATGGATTCGCGACGCTATCGATACGCTTATCACCGTTCATCGTGGCTGGTAGCAGGTAAAGCGGATCCACCGCCACCAGCGCGACTCTATCCACATCCGGATTGTCCCATCAGTGTGGAGGCGTTGAGAAAACAAGTGGTTTCGTTTGAAAAAGTGAAATTGACAAATAACGAAATGGATAAAAATGGACAGGTGAGTAGAAATGTTCTATCTGATTCTAGAGTTTCAGGTTTTGTATAATTTTGGAAATAAAATGATGGAGAAATGTTCTTTAATGGAAAAGAAATTCGTAAGAAAGAGAAACTTTCAGGTATTAAAACACACACACACAAGTATAACTTCCAAAAACCTGCACTTAAAGACGTAGAAGAACGTAAAAACATAAAGAGCACACAAACAATTGACAATAAAAGTGTGTGATATGTTAAAAGGTGGCAACACTTCCAAAGAATTTTTTAATATTTTTTTATGATATCTGATTTTTTTCTGAATTGGCCATTTTCTTACTTTCTCTACATTATTTTGTTTAAATTTGGTTACTTCAGACATCTTTTCTTTTTTGTATACATACAAACACAAATTAATATGTGTACTTTATAGTTGTAACTCACCTAACGATTTTTTTTTAATTTTCTATTTTTTTAAGGGGAAATAATTTAAGAAATAAAATAAAGAATAAAAAACATTGTAATTTCATGCATAATTAAATGGTTACTCACTACTACTTTAATTTTGCCCTTAGATCGTTCTGAACTCCATGCACAGATATCAACCGCGCATACATCTAGTGCGACTCGCTCATGGTCAAAATATACCCACGAATCCGAAGGATCTGCAGGAACTAGATCATAAAACATATGTTTTCCCCGAAACTGTGTTCACAGCTGTGACAGCGTATCAAAATCAATTGATTACGAAGTTGAAAATCGATTCGAATCCATTTGCAAAAGGTTTTCGGGACTCATCACGCCTAACAGATTTTGATCGGTGGGTAAATATGACAATAAGAAAATACTCGAAAATTTTTCCTCTAATAATTATGAATAATGAAAATTAAAAATCCGAAGTTTGAGGTTAAAAATTCCAAAAAAGTAGGAAAAATTTGATTGCCTTTTGTGGACATTTAACCATTTTATTTATGAAAAAGTATTTTTTTTTTGCTATTTGTAATTATAATTATTATTATATTTATTTAGTTATATTTCTTTTTTTGAAAATCATTATTGTGTTAAGTTTTAAATGACGTCTGGTGTTTATTAAAAAAGGTTTATTATAAACTTATATTTTTTCGGCAATAGATAAATATAATTAACAAACCAAATTCAAACTTCTGATTACTAATTATTCTCAATTTTTCTCCAATTTTTTTTATCAAATTAAATAAATTTTTTTTTTAATAATTTTGAATTAATTTTTAATTCCGAAAAGCTTAAAAAGGTTCAAAATATAGCCATAATACTTCTGGAATATTATGATTAATATTTCATAATAATGAAGTAAAGGCATTAACCGCTTCAAGTTACTTTAATAAGAAGGGAGAATTTAGAATGAAATTATATTTTAAAAATTGAAAATATCAGAATTCTGCTTAACTTTAACATTCAAAAATCCATATACAATATTTGTAAATAAATTAATGCATATTAACAATTTTTTTTAATTTTTTTTTTTTTGATAATTCTACGAGTCCCTCGAAATCAATAAAATCCCAAGTTTCGAAGGAAAATATTATAAATATTTTAAATTTTTTACAAAATAATTTTTCAAAAACTAATGTGAGGGCCAACTCTTTATCAACCCTCAAGTCCTGCCTTCAACTGACCATTCTTCAATTTATTTCGCTTTGACGAGAAGCAAATCGCTCAAATTGCTTTGCCATTACATACATACATACATATACTCATATCTAACCAAATTCTGCTTTCTTCGCATGTCTGCTGCCAATATTCGGTAGTGAAAATGATTAATTGCATTCGACGCTTGTCAAAATACGTTCACATTCTTGTCTCACCTCACCAGCCGTAGGCCAATAATAAAGCCGAAAGTGAAGGCAAACCACAACAACGAAAGCAACAACAAACCAATTTAGCAATAAATAAATTTTCAGCAACAATTACGCATTTCACTGCCATCGTATGTTGCGTGCACTACAACAACAAAACTGCCGACCTCCCGCTTTTGTACTGCCACTATCCCGGGAAAGGGTCTCCAACTCGTCTCGGCGCTAGTCGTCGTCAGTACATTTATGACCGGTGCGTGTGTGCGCTGTGGCGAATGAAGTGTTAAAAAATACCAAAAATACACACGTACATATCTCGCATATCATAAAAGGCGAAACCTTTTTGGCTGAGAGTTTGCTAAATTTTGGATAAAGACAAAAATTGAGAGATAATAAAATTTGGAATGTATGCAGTGTTGCAGGGAAAAAAAGAAGAAAACAAACGATAAACTGGCAAAAATGTTGCAGACGAGCACTTAATTGTTAAAAAAAATCTGACTTTGAAGTGTTGGAATCGGAAAGATTTTTTCTTTTCTTGGTGTTTTTTTAGATATTTGGCACATTTTTTATTGTTCGACACTTTCATTGCATAAAAAAGAAAAAGAGCGAGGCAGAGAGAAGGAGAAAACTTATATTGCCACCGTGCGCGGTGGATAAAACAACAACAAATTGCACTCTTACATATGTATATATATATCTAGTATATGCAGACATATGCATATACATTCATACACATTCATACACGCGTACAACAACACAATTAAGCAGCGGCCGGCAGCAGTTTTAGTTTGGCCGAGAAAATTATAGGTCGGCGCATTTAACTTTGAAGCGCAATCGTACAACATGCAACACGAACATGATCAGCTAACGAAACGCCAACCAGTAATGACGTACAATGTTATTTTTACAACAACAACAACAATAACAATAACAGCAACAACAAAATGAATAAAATGCTTTTTTGTTTAATTTTTTCATTCACATTTTATTAATGTTATTACCATTTATAGAGAGTAGACTCGTTGTTGTTGTTGTTGCGCCCTTTTGATTTCATGTTGTTTATGTTATCCAACTGTTAATTGGAAATTGCAAATGTGACGATAACAATGAGTTCTTTTTTGCAATAATAGCGAAACAATGTAACGAAATCGACATTATTTTGAGCTTTTTTCAGCAGCTTATTGCAGTTGCAACAAAGAATGAATTCTTTTTTTTTTTTGTATGTTTAAATTGCAGATATCTTTCCTAAAAAAAAACAACTCTTTGGTTCTTTTTTTAACAAGAGGCTAGAAATGGTGCCCAATTTTTTTTTATTTTACGCCTTGCTTTCAACAGGTGGCAGCTCTACTCACAAATCTTATCTACAGAAATATTTCTAAAAACACCACATTTTGTCTTATTTTTTTCTGTAAACTCAGCTTTTTTTTACTTTACTGTTTCATTTCGGTGCTTTAAGATGTCTGACCTCCCATGTAAATAAGAATATTTTCCTTCATTCGGTTTTCGCTTCTGTCGTGTTATTTAAACATTTTCATTTAGGTCTTTCGCGGTTATAATACCGAATTATACCGACTTACACGACTTGCAAGTATTAGAATGTTCTCACTTTCTCTCTCTCTCTCTCCCTCTTCCACAGCGACCCCATGGACTCTTTTCTGCTCGAACAACATCTCCGTTCGCCGCTACGATTCTTTCCCGACCCACTAATGGCACAGCTCTCACCCCAGGAAGCCGACGCCGCCTCGCTGGCATTCATCGAGAAAGCGCGTCAGCATCTTCAATTGTTCGGCCGCACACCGTACACCGAAATGTTATTGCCCCAACTCTACCAACGCCCGCCCGTGCTGAACGCCTTCAATCTCGGTATGTGGCAACAACAGTGGCCGCAACTAACCGCCGGTTTCATAGCGAGCGCCAATCAACAGGCAGCAGCTGCACAGGCCGCCGCCGCCGCTGCTGCAGCCGCGAATGCCTGCCGCACCCCGCCGCCACCGCCACCGCCGTCAATAATGGTCGGTGTGGCACCGCCGCCACCAGCGACCACGCCGTCGTCATCGGGCTCAGCGTCGCCGGATATGCGCTTAAGACACTTTCAGCGCTACAGTCCGTATCAGGTGCCGCAGCAACAGCTGCAGCAAACGCCGTTAACACGTACGCCACCGCCTTTATGAGGCGAGGAGGGCAAGCAGCGGAGGGACAGGGTATAAAAATGTGCAATGTGCAATCTAAAATATTTATTATTAACTTTTGTACAATGAAATTGTTCAGCGCAGCGGATAACTGTATTATGTGAATTATAGAATAGTTATGTTTGTATGTACATATGTATATGTGCGTTTACAGTATTAAAATTAGTCGAATGCTTATCGCTGTAGTTCTGTAAAACAAAAAAAAAAAACCAAGCGATGTAAAAATCAAATTTCATTTAAATTTATTTTAGTTATTTTACATTTCTGTGCAAAAAAAGCATATGGACTTTTTTTGTATGTATTTTATGTATAATATGTTCCTAATAAATTCATGTATGTATGTATGCGATGCAAAATCAAAATATGTTTAGAAAAATTATAAAAAATTATAATGGAAAAATGTAAAAAATAAATGTTGTAAAATATAACTTATAAAAAAATAAAGAGCTTTCAAAAATCACATATTTATATGTATGTGCTTACGTATATAATTTCTGAAAGAAAAAAATAAAAATAATAAAAATTAAAGCAGTTATGGCATGATAGTTTAAAGTATTATTCATTTCAATACTTTCTTGAACAAACGACGTCAACCAACACATTTCTTATTTATAAAAAAATCTTCTGATAATTGCCTTGAGCCATTGTTTAGTCAGTACTTTCATAAGTTTCGTGACTGATTTTCTATAATTTTTCATTCCAAAATGATTGCAAAGGACACAATAGTATAGAAGGGATAAAAATAGAAGAAGATATCTTGCCAACTATTTCAAAGTAACAGTAATATTGTTTACTGATATTATTCTAAAACATGATTTTTAATTAAAAAATTTATTATACATCTCTAAAACGTAATTTTGATTACTTTTGCGCATTTAAAAAATCTCTCTGTGAATTCATTAGATTAGATACAAATTAAAAAATTTGTTATATATGATATATAGGTTTCTTTAGATGATGATCACTTCTGAAATTGTGAGTAATAGCTGCTCCTCTAAACAACTCTTACAGGCCTATTCTCACTATTACCGGTAAAGTAAATTTTGTTACTTTTCTATATAGCACCCGAAATTGAATTTGGTATTCTGGCGAACTGGTAACAATGTTTGAAAAAAATTTGGCAGCACTGCTTTTTTCGTCCATGTCAAATTACATTTTCCAGTTGATAAATTATAAAAAGAAAAATATTCACACCGAAATGGAAGGCGGTGCACAAACAAATTAAAAAGTTTTCATAATTTGTTTATTAAATCATAAATATTTGAACCTAAATATGGAAAATATGCCGGGGCAACAAAAAAAGCTGAATGAAAACGTTACCTTACATATTAAAAAGTTATTTTTTTCGTCTCGAAAACTTCTTCAAATACGGCTTTTTGCACTTTTTTCATCATCTTCAATGAATTCCATGCCTAAAATATGCCTACCTATTTTGGTTTTTTATTTTTTCTCAAACTTACAACACAAAATCAAACAGCAGATATTTTTGTTACCTCCAATTTCGCTGATAATAAAATTTACAGGGTAACAGAGAGTTCAGAATACGAAATGGTAACAAAATTTACTGAATGGTAAATTTTAATACCTGGGTAAATTTTGTTACGTGGACTGAATAGGCCTGTTGAGTAAATTTTTATTCCCAATCATATGTATAGGTATAGAAAATGCGCATCACTCAAGTATTTATTAAAATAAAATTTTTTAATTTGCAGTTCCCATATTGCACGGGACTTGCACGGTTCTGGCCCTTCTTTTAGTTATAAAATGGTCTTAAACGGTAAATCATACTCTTTCAGTTTCGTATTACAGTATTACAGCGATATATAATCGAACTGGAGTATGAAAGAGTTAATCAATTATTTCAATCTCTTTTCTTTCTTGGTTGAGTTTAGCAAATGTTCGTGATATGCAAAAGTGCCGAGAAAGTGTATTAATGACTTTTATTTTCTTCGCAATATTTGTGGAGAGCTATTTTTTAAAAACCAAAGACTAAATTTTTCGGATCTCGATTACTGTAGTTTCATAATGGACTTGGGCCCCATCTATACATATGTTTCGCAACTTATATGAAAAACTTAACTGATTGGATGAACAGATCCGAGATCCGATGCTCTTTGCTATTCCCATGACATGAGCTGAGTGCAGAGTTCATGTTACAAACTGCTACTATTTCTGTCTCACTCCAATAAAATGCATAACTTCAAAGGCAAAACACGTTCTTCAATATCTTATTTACGTACGAGTATTTTCTTCTGCATTGTAATAATACAAACTTAGTTATGAGCATTTTAGGAGCAGATTTTGAACCCATATATATTATGTTTGATTGTGAACAAATGAGACAGAAAGTAGATATCGCCTGTGTGTAATTTTCTAGTTCCTGGAAAGAAGAATGCGAAGCACTCATCTGTGTGTGTATTTCTTTCGCCACATTTAATCAAATTAGTTTTTAAAAAAAATTTTATGGATCGCAAAAGGAATGGATTTCGGATATTTAAAATAAAAGTTTCTAAAAATTAATAAATTAATTAATTATGTCACTTAAAATTAATTTTCTAGATCATCATGACCTCAGTTTCCAAGATGATAAAAAGTTCTAATGGAACATTTTGAAGAAGAAAAAAAAAACATTATCAGGACAGGTTGAGCTAAAGGTTGAGTATATTACTGCAGGACGGTTAAGAAGTCCAACAGAAATTAGAATTTTGCAAATGTCTATATTGACTTTTTTAAATTATTTAATTTAATCCTCATAACGCATTTGCCATTACATAACCAAACAAAATTCAGGTGGGGTTAACCCATATAATCGATTTGTTCAGATATGAGGTTTTGGCTCAAAAATCCGGTAAAACAGCATTCAGAAGTGTGAGAATTCGTATTCTACACACTTAGCTCTTCCAGCTCTTTCTTATTTAATCGCGGATTATATATATATATATTATATGTGCATATGTAATTGGCGCTTTGTAACCGCTGAAACAATTTTTCAGCCGAGCTACTCCCACAATTTGTGGTTTCCCAACAAATGTAGGGACCAACAGTTTATACTGAGCCGCCTCCGAACGACTGATAGTTTTTCGTATGAGGAGCTTTATTTCATGTCTGAAGTATTACATTCGTAGGGATTGACTTTCCCTTCCGAGAGGCGACCGCAATTGAAAAATTTAGCTTAATTTTTATTTAAACTAATTTTCTATAACTTTTTGGATGTTAATACAACACTTGGATTTGAACCCGAGCCTTCCGAATGGCAGTACCGGACGTTCGCCTTGCGTACTGCCGCCGTGTTAGAAATACTGGCGTATTTTTCCTATTATTTACGAACGCAAATGCTTTTATGCGTTTTCCAATTCCGGCCATGGGAAGGCTAATTTCCAATATGGGCTCGTAATATTAGTAAAGACTCGCTCATGAGCGCTCTTTTAGTTAAATATTTCGTTTATATTTATTTTTTGTATTAGATATATGCTGGAGAAAATCTGCCGTAACTAATATACCACAGCCTATGTACCTACATATATATGTCTATTTTTATATACATAGGTATTAATGTGTGTGTAAACTTGGCTGTTTAATAACAACTTTCACAGAACTATTAATTACACATTGAACTTTCGATACAGTACGCACTGATGCCACTTATTATTATATATAGGCATGTGGAATATATATACATACATACATATGCATATGCAAATTTTTAAAGGCCTAAATATATGCGCTTTTAATAACTTAATTTTCACCTACAAATGTCGTTGACGTTCTCATAATAGTAGTGAACACTTAGATAATTTAACGCTTTTCAAATTTCTCCACCTTCCCAGACCCTCCCCACCCACCGCATCAACCCTCACCATGTTTCGATAGCAATTAAAAATCGTTTTGGAGTGTCCAAGAAAATGACTTTATTCCAAGTTTTTGTTGAAACATTTTTGAATTTTTAATTGCGTTGTTGAGAAAGTGACACATTTTCAAAGAAATTGGTTTGCTGGTTTTTGTTTTTTCAATGACTGGGTTAGGTGGACTTTTGAATTTTGGAGGAGTGCAGAGTATGAGGTAAGTCAGTGGGCCACAATTAATTGCTGCTTTGGTGTGAATGGAGTATTTTTCGGAATTACATACATATGCTCTGCGGAGCACAACTGTAAGGGCGCATAAATATGTATGTATTTACATAGGCTACGCATAGGCTTCAGGGTAATTAAAAATACTTTTGCCCCAAAAGTGAATCAAAAATTCATAGATATTACGCAGTGGGTTAATTTAAATAATATACCATTGGCTAAAATGTAAATGACTTAATTATATATGAACAACCAATTATTATCTTGGTAAGTACAAAAGGTCACATGCTCCATTACCGAAACCGGTATTCAATCATTTAAGTAGTCCAATTAGCTGAGACACATTTCTATTCATCATCATTCTAAATTGACTCAAGTTGGTGCTCATACAGGCGCAATTAACTCCCATAGACGAAATATTACAGACATATGTACGATTGGTGAATGTTAAGCCAAAATATTTTCAACATATTTTATGGCTTATTATTTATCAAAAAAAAAAAAAAAAACAATAAAACTACTGTCTTAATTGTAAATTAAATATCTGTGTGAACGCTGCTTCGAAATTCCGTTTCATCTGATCTTCAGTACCGACCTATCAACGAGTTTATATAAAGTTCCGGTAAGTTGAATGTTTGTCAGATAGTTTGTATAGTTCCTGGGAAGGTTTATATAGAGAAAAGATTTCCAGAAGTGAACCTGGGACCGATCTAACGCATTACTGGGTCCTTTGGCTTCACATTTTTTTACGTCCTCGCTGCAAAAACTAAGTTGTCTGGGATCTCAACCACACAATTCAGTCTAACATTTTAAAGTGAATGCCGCGTTGTGGAAACAGATACGGCGGTCAATTCTCCAACGGGCGCCCCAACTTATGTATTAAATCATTGATCAGCTAAAACGCTGCAACAGCAAACAACTTGCTCTGAATAAATTACAGAGGAACGTTTTCTATCATAGGTGAGGTCATCTTAATTCCTCGAACCCCCATCATTCCGTCTGACACTCCCTTTCAATTTTGGAGGCCACGACTCCCTGTTGTCCCATCTGTCCAATGTCCTTGATTTAGTCGACATTTTCAAAAATTGGCTAATCGCGAAAACGGCAGAAAAGGTTTTTTTTCGTACGAAATGGGATCT